TACAGCATTTTTCATTTTTGCACAATGTATGCATTTTTTCATTTTGGTTATATTCCCCACACAATTGCACCCCCCCCCTTATTTTGACTCTAGTCCTTCCTCTCCCAGCCCCTCCCTACCCCCCTACCCCCTGTAGTGTGTCTCTGGTTTATAGCTGCTTGTTGATTTTGATTTTTTCTATGAAAACAGTTCTCTGAGGGATTTGGGGGAAAAGTGCAATAGGATGAAGCATTCCCTCCAAAAGCAGTTAGAAGCCTATTCCGGGAGTATGTTATTGGTGCCAGTGTTCACAGCTGAGCCTGTGCTTTCAGGGCCTGCAGGGCAAGCACAGGAAAAATAAACAAAACAAAGAGCTGCACATTCTGAGCTTGTAAGGGTCCCACTCTTAAAGGACTTCAGAAGGTCAAATTTCCCTCTGACTTTAGCAATGGCCTATGAATAGTGAGCCAGTTTCTTGACCAGCATCTCTGGTTCTGGAAGAAAGATGAAGAGTAAGTAAAAAAGTTTCTTTTAATATTTGTAAAGTCTGGGTTTGATCTCTTATTTGTGGTATTCAGTTTTCTTTTTTCTTCAGGGCCCACTGATCCCCAGGGTTTATACCACAGTTTGCTCAGTGGCCTGCTCCCACTCTCAGCACGTGCTCAATCTCCTAGTCTTTCATATTCTAGGGCTAGAAGGTACTTGCAAAGTTAAGCCAGAGTAGGTGAGCAAGCAGAAGTGCTGAACAGCACAGGCACCCAAACTTCATGACCACAATCACTCAACTGTCAGCACCTGGAAGTCAAGGCCTCACTTGTCCTTCTTCCAGGAGACAGGGTTCAAAGAAAACTTTTGACAGAAGGCATAAAGATTAAACACCTCTGGTGGATGCCAATATAGATGTTTAATCATTATGTTTTGTGCTTCTCCGGAATGTTTGAAGACTCTTACAGTTGGGAAAAAAAAGTTAGTACAGTAACTAGGAAAGTGACTGATTCAAAAGTATGTCTTTTAAGTCAATCCGTTACTGAATGTTACTACATTATTTTTAGCAGCATGCATCAGAAAAAGAAAGTTTCATTCCAGGTTAGAAATATTTCTGGAAAAACTCAACAGCTACAAATAATACTATTTTGAAGATATTCCTACTTTTAAAATATGTAATATAGTCAAAGATAAATTGTACAATAATCGTTTGGTAAACTCTAAGTGATACCTTCACAAATACTATCTTGTTTTGGTTCTATAGAAATTTACTACAGGGAACACACTTAAACATTAAAAATATTTAACACTTTATTCAGAATTTTTTTCTTTAGGTACCACTCTGAGCTCAAAGCTGCATTTCCATCTACAAATAATCTCCAGAGATGAAAGACAGTTTACAAGTAGTTAAAATTTAAGACAGCTAGCAGTTATGATTTAAAGGTTTAAATGCATCTACTGCTGCATTCTTCTCACAGGATAAAGCAGAAACCAGTACAACATCCCACCAGAAGAAGACAGGATGAAATCCCTAAAATGCTGCTGCAACACGGGGCCTCTAAAGGCACACTTCCCTCCTCAATACTCCTCTAGGTAGCAACAAGCTGAATGTACAAATTTTGAAAATGTCAGGCTTCTAACAAATTATTTTCACCAATCAACTAAAAAGTGGTAAATTTTAAGAAGCATTTTTTTTTGTTATAGAAGCACTCTATGGATTACCACCTGCCACTGCAAGAATCATCAGATGATGTGATGTGTAGTCAAAAGACATGCAAAATTAAGAATGACAGTGTATCCAGAATGAATGCTCTCTTCATCAGAGAGGGACGAGGGAGGGCCCTGCTGTTCAGAGGGAAGTGCGATTTTTCAAGGGTAGGAATTTGTGCCCCAACTATAATACAGAATTAGTACGGGACAGTAAGTGGGCATTAACTGGGATGCTGTGTACGCCAGGCAGAACTTTAGTTCCCTCAATCCACAAATAAACAATATGAGTGGGGCCTCCCTGGTGGCACAGGGGTTAAAGACAGCACTATCAAGATATCACCAGCCACCAAAACACAAGTTGGATCTCCGGGTGGCCCGCAAACCACATGGCGCAGCAGACCTCTCCTGCCTTGCCTGCTGCTCCCCTCAGCAGCGTATCTCAATAGATCTGCCTGTTCTGCTTCCCACTCTCTCTGGTGAATCCTCTTAATACCACCTCCACCCCACCCCCACCCCCTCACCTCTGGCTTACACCCCAGTTGCATAAATAAGTCTTTAAAAAAAAAATTGAGTAATTAACTCATGCAAATCACTGAGATGAGCATTAGCCTCCCTTAAAGTAATAGAAATCTGCCTTTATATTGTCAACTCATAAATCTGAAGAGATTTTGTTTAAAATTATGAAAACCAAGGAGAAGAGTAGCAGATTTCTACAGAGATAAGGAGAGGTGATAAAATGCACTGGATGCCAACAATTAATGAGACAGAACAAATAGCAATAGGCACAAGCAACAGCAGGGAATTTATTTTTAGCTTACACATTAGGCAACGTCATTACAAGCACGATTAAGTCCAGCAACAAGCTGCCAAAAGGACTGAAAAACTGCCATTGCTGAAGAGATAGAAGACTGTTCCCAGGGACACCAGACAAGGACGGCACGAGCACAGCTAAATCAGGCCTTTGAGGGTAGAGATCAGATGACCACAAAGGCCATATACGTATTGCTCACACATTTTCACAAACATGGATTATATATAGCATTCACCTGAAATTACTATCTAAAACTCAGTCCTTCCCTGAAGCATAAAGAACTACTATGGAGCTGTGCCATTTCCATTTAATAGTAATGTTTTTAAAAGTAGACAAAGCAATATAGTCACAGGTATCTATAACCTCTCATAGTTCTGTTTTGGAAAAGCAATTAGAATAATTAGAAATACGGTCATATGAGAAATACGCTGTTGCTGTTTTGCTCTGGTGGTAAGTAAGCCAGGCTACAATAATCATTTTAGAGTACTAAATTTCATCAGAAGGGCTAGCCCTTGAAGATTATATTAAAATACATAAGTAAATGTCAGATGCTCTATTCAGATCACACAAAAATCTCCCCTTAGGAATACTGTATTACCAACTGAAAACATCAGGTTATAAAGAATCATGATTCACTGACATGAAATTATCAGCACACATGGTGAGATACCTGAGGAAGGGTCATCTAAGGCCAAGAGTGGAAATATCTATTTGGTGGGATTTGGGATAATTTTACTTTCATCTGCATGACTTTTTGTGATTTTTTTTTATTAGAGCAAAATTAGAAAGCTCAGGACACAAATTGCTGGATTCAAATTTCAGCTTTCCACTTTATTAGTTGTGTTATCTTGAGGGTGTTACTGAATCTCCCTGTGCCTCAGTGACCTCACCCGTAAATGGGGATAAAAATAGTCCCTACCTCAGAGTACTATGAGGACTGAATCAAAGCAGAGGCTCAAAGCACAGGCCTCCGTGCTCACAACGCAGCAAGCCCTCAGGATACTAGGCCAGGAGAAGCAGAAGTGCTGCTAATTCTAAGTCTGCTCTTTGTAAAACAGACATATCACCCTCCCTAAAAGCAACTACAGTTGACCTTTAAACAACATGGGTTTGAACTGCCTGAAGCTACTTAACTGCAACATTTGCTTTTAATAAGTACAATTGACCCACCATATCCAAGGATTCAAAATTTACCAACAGGGATTCAACCAGATTTAACCAACAGAGGTGCAGGTAATGCTCAGATATGAAAGGCTGACTCCAAGAAACTTGAGGCTTGGAGGATTTGGGGAAGGGAGTCCTTAAACCAATCACCAGTGGCTACCAAGGGACCAGTGTGTTGACTTAGGAGAGTGAGAAGTTATACACAGATTTTTTTTGTGCCTCTTAGCTTCTATGTTGTTCAAGAATCAACTGTATTTCAAGACTGAAAACAAAAAAGGGAGCAAGAAGTTCTCTCAAGTTTAAATAAAATCTAAAAGAAAAAAAAACCATCCAAAACAAAACAAAACAAAACTAGCATACCAACTGCAGAGAACACATAAATACGTAAAGAGGGCATCCCTAAGTGGACACTTTCTTTGAATCCAGCATCTCATTTCAGGAGTCAGCAGGAACCTTTAAACTAAGAGTTCAAGAGGTGCTCCAGGCAGCCACGTCACATGTGCTCTGTGCTCTCAATTATGCAGCAAAATTGAAGACATTCTAATGAGGTTAGCATTTGTAGGACAGAAGACTTGTCCTCATTAAAAAAAAAAAAAAATCTTTAAAATGTTTTAATCTACAAATGCAAGAACTTTAGCTTTAAATGGGGATTTATATAAAGTAAAAATCATATCAACCTACATTTGATTAGTTTGGAGCAGATAATGAAAATGATGGCTTATCATGAACCCTGGATTCTCATTATTTTAAAGAGAGAGAAGGGAAATAAACAGATCAGTAGGTGATTTAAGCAGTATATTAAGAGCTACATAATCACCTTCTATAAAGAGGAAAATGGAGTAGAGTAAGTAGCAGAAAGGAGGAAGTGCTGACATTTTAAAATGGGAATAGGCAGAAAGGTGATATTTGAGCTTGAATAAAAGAAAAGTTCAGTTAATTTTACTCCATTATTTATTATTGGTTCTGATGAAAGTTTTAATCAGTTTGATCAGTTTGAAAGTTCTTGGCTAAGACAAGGTAGCTCTGGGCATCATTTAGTCTGGACACCCCTTTTGACTTTATAACGTACACTCTACTTATTATGTCACTGGAACCCAGCCACCTCACCAGTGGGAGCCAGGAGCAGCAGTGGTATTCTCTCACCCTGCTGCTCCACCACAAGTTGTGGCAGTTGTGGCAGTTGCTCCTCAGAGCACTTTTATGTAACAGTGTACTTCCTGGATTGTAGAATGGACCAATCAGATGTGAGCTATGAGCTGATTGGTGCTAAATGGTCCAATCAGCCACATGATTGAAAAATGATCCAATCAGACTTGTGGGTGAGGTATCCAGAAACAGGATGTAAGTCAGGGTCGGAGGGAACTGAGGAGGGCCGGTCCCAGCAGAGGAGAGATGGCACCAGCACCTGAAGAAAAGACGGTTCCAGCCTCCAAAGGAAGAAAAAAAGAAGGGGAAGACTCCATTCCTGGCCTCCCAAAAAAGAAAGGAAAAAAGAAGCATCCAGGAGCCAACCTCCGAGGAAGGAAGAGAAGCCAAAGACCTTTGCAGAGGCCCAGTCTCTGACATCGCCTGAAAGGAGCATCAAAGGCCCTGGGACTGGTGTCTCAAAGAGCTGTTTTTGTTGGTATAACCCAACAACTGACAAAGAGCTGTTAACACTGGGTGTCTCTGACACCGACTCTGAAGGATCGTTAGTGGCCAGTGCTGTCCAGTATTCCTGGTGACCATCACAGTGGCGACCACCACTGATGCTATCTGGGTGAAATAACTGGCCACTTGTGGATACAGTAAGCTCTTTGTTTCCCCTGTTAGTAAAATAAATCCATGGTTGTTTTGGAGCCTGAGGTATCTTGCAATTGTGCGCACTGGTGAGAACCCACAGACAATGACCTGTCCTATTGTTATAGGGCAGCCCCAATACAAAATGGGGTGCCTGAATGTGGGTCCTCACCCGCGCACTTTAAAGGACTTATCTATGCTCTACTGCAGGCACATGCAAAAGGTTAATAAAAGGTGTATTTACAAGGGAAGGGGAAATGAGGAAATGTACAGCTCAGGGAGAAAAGTGGGAGACAAAGTTTTAAATGAGTCCTACCCAATCCGCCGATCTGGAATCCCAAATGGCACTCTGAGAGCTGGCCACAAGCCAGGAGCCCTGAAGCCAGGAGGCAAGCGAGAGATCGAGCCCCCCAAGGCCCATGTGTTTGGTTTTTATACCCAACCTGGCTGCTTAACTCCACCCTCAGGTCCCAGCCACCTTCCCTTTGGTGGTGATGGGATTTGTCTTTCCCAATGTCTTGATGGCTTTAGTCTGGACTGGGAGCGGAGTCCACAAAGCCTGTATGGGATTAGCTCAGGACATCATTTCCCCCTAACACTATCAGGCACTGTCCTTTGTTAGGCTATAGCCCAGGGGCCCCTACTGTGTGGGTGTTGTATTGCTATAGCCCTTAGTTATGGTTTTTGGCCTTTTGGGGCTTTTTGGTAGCTCTCTGGTCTCAGAACCTGGGTAGGTGGGTAGCTGTTCCATCCTTCCATCTGGCCAAGTTTCAATTACATACCTACCCTGTTATGGATACAGTCTGTTGATAATCATTATTTCACTTTTTAATATATCTTCCTAAATAATATTCTCCAACAATATTTCCCACATTAAAAATTAAGAAAGAATTTAGAACAAAAGAGAAGTCACCTGCTCTTTTTGATAATCTAAATGTCCATTTTCCCCCATTTTCTAGTAGGAGAACCCAGATTTTCCTTGGGGAACTAAGTCGACCTGACTTCAAGCCAGTGGTTCAGATGGGGCATCACAGCCACTGACCCAAGAGTAAGTGTATTACATGGTCCCACCAGTAGGAGTGTCAAATTCCCAAACATCATAAAGCACAGAGTAGAGGAGTGAGTGTGTGACCCAAATCAGCCAATGAAAACCCATAAGCACTGAGACCATGGGTGCAACTCTTGGGAAAGAGTTATTCTCCTTCATAGGGTTGCTATAGCAGCAAAATAAGGCCTATAATTGCTAATGAGGGTCTTCCTTGCCTCCCCTAAGTAAAGGAAGTGTCAGGATATTACTTAGTAAGGTTAGAATCTAAGCCCCCACCCATTCCGCAGCAGCAGGAAGGTTTGGGAGGCTTGAATAGATAAAGGGAATTGATAAGGTTGCTATGGGAACCGGTCCTTAAGACTGATCACTCTCACCTGAAGTGCAGAAGCAGGGCCAGGACACATTCTCTGTCAAAGGCCAGTGCCCAAGACCAGACATCCCAACACTCACTGGCCCAAACCGACTCCCCAGTCATGAAAAGCCTGCAAACAGGCTAAAACCTTCTTCGCAGACCTCTCCTGTCTTGCCCACTGTTCCTCTCAGCAGTGTATTTCAGTAAATCCCCCTTTTCTGTTTGTCACTATGTTTCTGGTGAATTCTTTCACGCCTGTGCCTCTGGCCTCACCCTTATCTCTCCCCACAACAGGAAGGAGGTTGGGTCTGCTGAAAAATGAAGCCAGTCTCAAGGTAAGCAGGCAAAGAAAAAAGTATTTGAGTGATGAGTGTGTTCAAGGATAGATTTAGAGGACATGAGCTTAATCCTGCCTGAAGAGACACATTCCCTTACATTTTTCTCATAGCTGGAGTGCCTTTCATTTTTTGCCTAAATCATTTCAGGCTGGGTGTCCTGCAAACAAGAGAGTCTTGCCAAATACAAATAAATCTTCAGAAACCAATCTCGTATTTTCCCTAGAAAGCCAGCAATCACATATTCTTACCCGTTCCTGACCAGCAGTGTCCCAGATGAGGAATTTATGAAGTTCATTTCCACAAGGCACAGTTTTGGTCATAAAAGACGCCCTGAAAAAGAACCAACATCTCCATGTTACCAACTGCCCCAACATCTTCACAAAGATTCCTGCTTCAAACAAGTTAATATTACCTCAGCAGGACTCCTTCCAGGCCACTAAGAGGACAGGAGTGATGCCAGCGTGTGTAACAACTGCCGCCGCTTTACCACAAGTTCTTGTCTCACGAAACCGTAGAAAGGAATTCACAGACTTTTTGGAGTAAGTAAGCAGAGAGAGACAAATTCTGTCTTTGAAAGAAGAGTTTATTTAGGAAGAAAAGAGACAAAAAAGAAAGACTCCCAGGTATAAGGTACCTGGGAGGGGCCAAGATGAGTGGGTACGGGATATTACGTTGGCAATATATACATTCTCTCCCTCATTATGTTTAAATTTTACTCTCTCTCTCCCTGATTGGTTAACTCCCAGAGGGTCTCACACTTACTAAGTGGGGGGAATTTCACATTCCTTATCTAACAGCTTTCCCTTTCCCCATTTGTCATGCTTGTCACTTTATCTTTATGGCCTAGTCCTCCGGGTGAGCATTTCTACATTAAAGTTAAACAGCTGCCCTTCTAAGTTGTCCATAAATTAAACCACTCTCCATTTCTCTAGTCTCCACCTCCCTTTATCACCTGAAAAAAAACCAGGACCATCGTTAACAGTATTAATATTGTCCGTGGTCCTGGGGTGTTTGTTTTTCCTAATGAAATTGGTTATATTCCCTTGGTTGTCCTTATCTCTAAAGCCTCCCTAAATTCTTCAGAGGTCCCCTCCTACACTGTCCCTAAAACTGCCTAATAACCCTAGCTTGCCCTGTGTCTCAGGAGGAGGATTACGGTCCTTTCGCCCAACAAAAATGTTCTGCATTTCTGTTAGTTTGACTAAAGACTGAGATGGGGAGAGGGGGAGGCAAAGATTGCATTCAGAAAATGTGTTTCCAAAAAGAGTTTCATGGCCTCCCTGGTGGCGCAAGAGGTTAAGACACAATCTATGAAGCTATCTGCAGCCACTGCACCAGAAGTTCAATTCCTGGCCGGCCAGGGAGATACCCACATGGTGCAGCAGACCTCTCCTGACTCACCCGCTGCTCCCCTCAGCAGTGTATTTTAATCAATTTGCCTGTTCTGCTCCTCACTCTGTCTCTGGTGAATCCTCTCACCCCCGCCACCCCATGCCTCTGGCTTGTACCCCAGTTCTTGTGTGCATAAATAAATAAATCTTAAAAAAAAAAAAAAAGACTTAGCTTCAGTGGGTTCCAAAACAATGAATATGCCTCAAAAATCTCAGGGGAGGAAATAAAACCTTTCATAGTAAAAATTGATTTCTACAGCAACTAAGAATGAAAAGGAAAACTGGTATTTGGTGAAGTTACAGTCTTAGTCTTGCAGTGACACAAACAGAAAACTGCATTATATATTCACCTATATGTACAATACTAGTAGCACCTAATGGAATAATATTCTAATACCCACTCAGCTGGCATAAATACAGAGATAAAGGTTGGAAGCTTAACAAATATTAATTTTTTTCCATAAAAAAGGAAGGATTTGGAATTCTCAGCAGGTAACAAAACACCTAGTATTTTCTTGTTTGCATATTTGAAACAATTTAAATGATCTTTTTCGTTGTGGTAATGAGGGATGTAAAAATTCAGTACAAGGAATGTGTAACATCCTTGACATTTTTCTGAGATAAAGCTTCCCTTTCACTAAAAAAAATAGCAAAAAAAAAAAAAAAAAAAACCTAGTAATGGGACAATGAGACAATGATGTCTCTTGATGAGATAGAAAAATAGGTATGTGTATTAGTTCTGCAGCATTCCAGCCAAGAATATTTAATCTGAATATAATCATGAGGAAGTAATCAGGCAAATCTAAAATGTGGAATTTCTGCAAGATAACAATCTGCATGCTTCAAGTAAGTCAATGAAAAGCACACAAAACAAAAGGCAGGGAGGTTGTTCTAGAAATTAGGTTAAGAGTGAGCAAAGAAACAATTGCTCTATATGAACCTTGACTAGATACTGGCTTAGAAGGCAATGTCTTGAAGACAACTGAAAGGATTTAAACTATATGTCAATATTATCATTGAATCAAAATTAATTTTCTAGGTACAATACTGATGTTCTCATTAAGTGTAAGGATCTCTGGTCTCACTTTTCTATGGCCCTGCCAGGGTACAGAGTTCGGCCCTGTACTCACTCAGTATTCATCCCACTAACATTTCCTCAATTTCTACTGCTTGTCCCCAAGATTAAGAGGCAGACTACAGTAGTCCCAAGTAGAAAAGTATATGTCCCTACAGTCCCCCCACTAACCGCCACACATACATACACATCCCAAAGGCTAACAATTCTAATTATCAACCTACAATTGCATTAAATGGGTAAGTAATTTTCTGGAAGATATGACACAACGTTATCAAAACTGTATCTGTCCCATGATGTTTTATTTCTTGAAAAGTATTTAAAATATATACCCTGAACTACTGATGATGCCAGATATATTCCCAAGTGGAAATAATACCCTTATTACTTCACTATTATAAGCAATACATATACTTTACCAAAAAAATATCAAAATAAAGAACAAAATAAAAATCAATTGTAATTCACTAGTCACTGCTAGTAATTTGTCATATATACTTCCAAATAATTTTTAGACAACTTTTAACCCCATGATGATGCACTACACAAATTTTCTATTTCTTTCATTTTATATATTATGGACATCTTTTTATTTCTGAGAATACAGACCAACATCATTATCGCAAATGGTTGAATATTATACACAATGTTATGGATTTATTCACTACCCCATTGTCTAACATTTTGGTTACCTATTTTTCATCACTAAGATGACTAACTGAATATCCCTGTATCTAACTGAATATCCCTGTGTCCTTGAGCAACTATTTTCATATTTGCCGAACTATACATTGTACCAACCTACACACCCATCCTACATATATCAGTGATAAGACAACCTTTCCCCCAATCAATACTAGCCTTTCAAATCTCTTCCAGTGTGACAGGTGGAAAATGACATATCATTCCTGTTTTTATTTTTTTTTTATTTTTTTTTTTGATAGAGGCATGCTTTATTTATTTGTTTGCTGGTTTGTTTGTTTTGTTTATACATGCACTGGGTACAGTCAGAAGCACGGGAGGGTGAGAGAATTCACCAGAGCCAGAGCGGGGAGCAGAGCAGACAGAAGGACCGAAGTACACTGCTGAGGGGAGCAGCGGGCGGCAGGAGAGGTCTGCGCGCCATGTGGGACCCTCCTCCAGTGGCCGGGGAGCAGCCGGGGATCGAACCGGCACCGCAGAGGCCGCGGGCAGCTTCGCAACCCAGCGCTCAACCGCTGCGCCACCGGGGAGGCCCTCATTCCTGTTTTTAATATACTTATATAAGTTTATTCAGTATTTTAGTTTTCAGTCTTCACCTATATTTTTTGTTTTGTAAATCTTTTAAGTACATGACCACTGCCCAATTTTCAATTGGGATGTTTATTCTTTTATACTTTATACTAATCTTTTGTAATAATATATTTTAAATATTTTTCTCCCTAACCTTTGTCCTTTACTTTAACCTTTTGGTTTTCATAAACATCTTTTAAAACTTTATGTAGGGCCTCCCCTGGTGGCGCAGCGGTTGAGCATTGGGCTGCGAAGCTGCCCACAGCCTCTGCAGCACCAGTTCAATCCCCGGCCGCCGGCGAGGGTCCCACATGGCGCAGCAGACCTCTCCTGCAGCGCCCACTGCTCCCCTCAGCAGTGTGTTTCGTCAGTCTGTCTGTTCTGTCCCCTGCTCTGGCTCTGGTGAATCCTCTCACACTCCCGCGCTTCTGACTGTACAAAGTGCTTGTATAAATAAATAAATAAATCTTAAAAAAAGAAAAAAAAAACTTAATATAGACTGCTATATCAACAATTTGGTTTTGTGCTTTATTTTGGTTTATTTTTATTCATTCCTCAATATATTCTAGGCACTGGGGTGAAAAAATAAATTAACCCTACCCTTAAAAAGTGCTCAAGACTTAGAAAACTAAGTCCATTGCCTTTAAAAAAAATCTTAAAATCATAAATTTTTATTTAGAGTAGGGAAAAAAACCATAAAATATGTCCCTGGTCAGAAAGTCTAGTGGCACAGCCAGCGACAGAATGCAGAGATCTCACTGCCTGGCTGAGTGGAATCAGTTTTCAGAAAGCCCCACTATTTCTTCATATGTGAAATGGAACCAATACCTACTTTGCATATTCTAAAGGACCACTGCAGGGACAAAGGAGAAAGTGACACTTGATACATAATAAGTCCATGAGGAACAGTTTCAGTAATCATAAAAATACACATTATTTACTTATAATTCATACATACACACACACACAAATATGCTCACTCATATACATGTCACAGGCACGCACTTACATATACACACACATACCCTTCTCTGTTCCTGACTTTTTTGTCAGTAGGAGAAAGACTACCAATATTTGAAATGAAAACTGATAATCATTCTCCTTTGGTTGCTTGGGGTTTTTTTATAGACTCTTTGTCAACTCACAATCTTAACCTCAGGTATCTTTTTCCTCTCTATAGATTGATTACCTTCTAGAATAATGGTCGGGGTAGCAATGGCAATGTTGAACTGAACTCATTATCTGTGGGAACCAAAATTTAGCAGAGAAGTAGCATAATTTCCTTGTAAATGTCGAAATAGAAAGGTAGACACATAAATATGTTCAAGATGTCAACACAATCTGCTTGTACATCAGAGCCAAAATGTTTTCAGTGTGAGTCACAGGAGTTGATAAGAGACAACTCTTTACACATGGGAACAATGACATCTTATAGCCTATGGCTTTTCCCAATGGCAGCATGAACAAGATTGGACTTTGAGAAAGGCTCACTTTTCTGAGTCTTAAGATTGTTGTTCATTGGCTCTGTGTGTGTGTGTATGTGTGTGTTTTAAAGGTTTATTTATTTATGCATACAAGAACTGGAGTATGGGCCAGAGGTGTGGGGGTGGTGGTGGTGAGAGGATTCACCAGAGACAGAATGAGGAGCAGAACTGGCAGACTGACTGAAATATACTGCTGAGGGGCGCAGCGGGCGAGATAGGAGAGGTCTGCTGTGCCATGTGGGTAGCTCCCTGGCTGGGGATCAAACTTGTGCTGAAATGGCTGCAGATAGCTTCATAGTGCAGTGTCTAACCTCTTGGGCCACCACGGAAGCCCTGACTGTGTGTGTTTAAACAAGTCACCTAACTACTCTGAGCCTTGAGGCCAGCAGGTGACCGTGAAAATGGCTCTTGGACCAGGGACATGAGCTGAAATGTCTGTGGGACCAGGTAGAACACATTAATGAGTGACGTGAACTAGGTATAAAAGTAATAACATGAAAATAATAACAGTGAAGAGAGTGACACAGAGTGGAGAGCTGCCACCGCAGGGAGCTCTGGCCTCAGGTCCCGCTGGCTTCTGCCATGTGGGGTATGTGCTCCGTGCTCCAACTCCACTGACTTTTTTAAAGAGAAGCCAAAAATGCTGGCTATGCATTATTGGCTTCAAATTTTTTTAGTACTATGCATCCTAAACAAAACACATCTATAACCCAGATTCCCACCACTTAAATCGACAGACTGAGGGACAAGCACTCGACCTTCTTGAAAGGATTCCATTTATGCTGTCTTCCAAGAAATCTGTTATTGCTGGCTTCGTTTTTCTGAAACTGGGGTTTGGAAACATTTTCTCAAAATCCCAGAAGACAGAAGAAATTTTGAACAATTTTAAAATTGGGGAATAAAATATGTATCAGGAAAAGACAATCTATAAAAACAGAGAAGCTAAGTTTAATGTCGACTCTAGAAGAAAAGGGAGGAATGAAGTAGACAAGAAGCAGAACAGAAGATAATTTAATGTTACAATCACTTAAAATCATCTACAGGAAAAAATTTTAAGAAAAATTGAAAGTTTAGAGGAATTTAAAATCATACATTAAATAAATAGCACCTAACGCTGGTGAGTATAGAGAAAAATAAGGACAAGCTTTGTGAAAAACCATTTGGCAGAATCTATCAAGAGCCTGAAGTATGTACTTATTCTTTGACTAAATTATTCCCTCAGTAAGAAAGGTACATGCAAGTATTTGTGCTAAAAAAATACATCAGCTATACTTTTATTTCTAAATTTTTTTTTAAAAAAAATTAAACAATCTAATGTCTTAAATGGGAAATCTAGTAATTAAAATAACTTTTTAAAAAGAACTTTAATGGCATCGAATTCACAATATAATGTTGAATGAAAAGATCATAATACATACACACAAAAGGATGTTTATTATGGTTGACACTTTTATCCATTTACCATAATTTGTCATGAAAGCATGCATGGGCTTTTATTTAAAAACAAAATCATTACAAAAGGAATACAGAGTTGTCATATAAAAGAAAAACTTTTAAGTTTAAAAAGTAAAGAGTGAAATTCTCTGTTCCACCTTCTTGAACCACACTTCAAAGTTAATCACTCTTACTGGTTTTGCTTTTATTATCAAGAAACAGAAAGTGGAAATTTAAGAAGAAAAGTGTAGAGGAAAAGATTTCCTCTGCAAGGTTGTCCCAATCTACAGTAGTTCCCACATGGGGATAAATTTCTCCAGGGGTTCCCTAACTCTAGGTTCTTCTCCTATAACACAATCCACTGCATTTGGGTATCATCTGACTCTTATCATCCTCCAGGAAACTAGGGCTCAGGGAAATCAATGCAAAATGGCAACACTCCAACCTCTGTTCTTCCCCAGGTCTCTGACCCCAGACTCACCTGTGGTCTGTCTGCATCCAGGGATCTGGGCAGCTAACTTGTTTGCCTACAGACCCTTCACAGTTCTTGACACATATTTTTATGAACATGTTCCTTTAAGTTACTTTTTCATTGCAGTATGTGCTGGATTTTTTCAATTACCCCACTCCAACTACTGGTCTATCAACCAATTGCTCTTGACTTACAACCTGTGGAGAATTTTCTTTACTTACTGATAAAATCGCCCCTCTTCATCAATTCTACAATGTTCCCAAACTATATATACACATTGTTTCCCTTTTGAGGGAGATAGTTTTCTTGCTCTCTTGAGTATGAAATGTTCAGGGAGTAAAATAAGTGAAGCCCAAGTTCTAAGAGAGTGAAAAAGCAAGAACCTGCAAAACCTCATAGCTACAGCACATCTTGCCAAAATCCATGAGAAAGGAGAAAATGCAATTGGAAAACGCTTCCACATTCCAAGGTCAAGATCTCAGAAGTGAAAAGTCCACTTCCCCTCCCAGCACAGGAAAGGCAGTACTGACACCAGATTAATCCACAGGAAGGAAAATCAATCTGCCCCACAGACTGAGACAGCCTGGCTGGGTGAATGGACAGCTTTCCAGGGTCTCTAGCAGGCAGGTGAAGCAGAGCCCTCAGGGATTGGTCTTATGTCTCACCTTCCATCTGGAAATAGAGCTGGCATGATTTGCAGAATAATGCTCTTGGAGACTAAGGAGATGGGTTTAAGCTACAGCACAAGCACCACTGACAAGGCAAACAATTATTGACAGGGATATTAAGTCCAAACCTACTGCTTGAAAGTCCCTGAATTTTTATCAGTCTTTACAGTTGGTATTGATTCTCATTAGCCAGCATGAAAACTGCTTGACAATTCAGGCAAAAAGTGACCTCAAAAGTGCTTGGAGGGCCTCCCCAGTGGCACAGTGGTTGAGCACTGGGTTACGAAGCTGCCCGCAGCCTCTGCAGCACTGGTTCGATCCCCAGCTGCTCCCCAGACACCAGAGGAGGGTCCCACATGGCGCGCAGACCTCTCCTGCCGCCCGCTGCTCCCCTCAGCAGTGTACTTCGGTCCTTCTGCCTGCTCTGCTCCCTGCTCTGGCTCTGGTGAATTCTCTCACCCTCCCGCGCTTCTGACTGTACCCAGTGCTTGTATAAATAAATAAATAAATCTTTAAAACAAACAAACAAACAAACAAACAAATAAATAAATAAGTGCTTGGAGGGCCTCCCTGGTGGCATAGCGGTTAAGTCTCAACGCTATCATTCTTTCACTGCTATGTCCTGAGTACAATCCCTGGCCACAGACCTAACGGACGCATGGCGCAGCGGACCTCTCCTATCTCTCCCGCTGCTCCCCTTGGCAGTATGTCTCAGCAGATCCACCTGTTCTGCTCTCGACTCTGTCTGGTGAATCCTCTCACCACTGTACCTCTGGCCTACACCTCAGTTCTTCAATGCATAAATAAATAAAATCTTTTTTTTTTTTTTTTTTTTAAAGAGTGCTTGGAAAGGAAACATGAAAGAGAATTACAAACAGGAACTTACCCAATGGTCGGGCTGATGTTGTGGTCAAAGTGATCCTGGACAAATCGACACACAATGCTTGATTTCCCAACTCCAGTGTCCTGGAAAAGAATGAAAATATAGACATAAAGATCGAGTGTGCCAATTGTGACTTAATAGAAACGCAGAACTGGAGAACTGATAGATGAGATTGGGGGAGTATTTGAAATTGTATTGTCTTCGTAGAAAGAAAAGAAATATGACAAATAAGTTATAGAAATATGTCCTATATGTATACAATAAATAACCTAGAACTGGCTCATAATATATGAATTTACAGATTTTGGGAAATTTTTGGAGGCGTTTAAGAAGAAGTATATTTAGCACAATACAATGTTTTGGTAGAAATAGAACTGATTTTGTTCAAAACCTTAGCACTCAAAAATTATGTAATCTATTTTTCCAGAGATCATCCTGTAATACTTAGGAATTCTAATTATTGCATTTGTAACATTTTCTCTTTAGTATCTGATGGCTTCATAATAACCTCCAGTTTTGCTTAATTATATAAAGGTCTAATCTCAGCTCTTTTTCTGTCAAAAAGATTATTTAGAGCTGATTAGGACAGAGGTCCAATTACACACTGGAAACCGAATACTTACATTTCTACCCATTCCCTTCCAAAAGCTTTGTCAAATTGTTTAAAAAATGAAAAATACACCTTCACAGGCCTCGAGGCCCTGGTGGCGCAAGGGGTTGAGGCGTGGCCTGTGAGGCTGTGCACAGCCTCTGCGGCACGTATTTGATTTCCGGCCAGCCAGGCCAGCAACCCACATGGCGCAGCAGACCTCTCCTGATTCACCGACTGCTCCCCTCAGCAGTGTACTTGGGTCGATCTGCCTGTTCTGTTCCCCACTTTGTCTCTGGTGAATCCTCTCACCCCTCTCCACCCCGCACCTCTGGCCTGTACCCCAGCTCTTGTGTGCATAAATAAATAAACCTTTTAAAAAAAAATACACCTCCACAAGGTGAAAGAGATAGAAAAAAAAAAAAAAAAAAAAACACTAGACAAATGATAGAACAAAGTCCAAGAGAATGAGATCCACTTGGCCAAGCAGCCACTGAGAAAGAATTAGTTGAGCCCTGGTGCCTGCAGGGAGGAGAGCCAATCCCCCTCAGAGGCCCAGAAAATACCAAGGACTGGAGGGCAAGGCTGAAAGCAGGATCAGTTGAAAGGCTGCACACAAAAACATGCCACTAACTTTGTTTTTATGTCTTCCACATATAAGTGAAATCAGACAGTTGCTGTCCTTTTCCATCTGACTTATTTCATTTAGCAAAATACCCTCAAAATATCTATCTGTGTTGTCAATTATGGCAAGATTTCATCTTTTTCTAAACAGCTGAGTAGTATTCCATTGTGTGTGTGCTTGTGCAGAAATATATTCATTCACACATTTGAGGGGGTGATATGGACACAGAGAGCTGATTGTTTCCTGATGAATAGAAACTAGACTTTTGGTGGTGATCACAGTGTAATATTATACAGAGGTTATATCATATCATACACCAAAAAAAATTGTATAATGTTATAAACCAAGCTATCTCAAAAAAAAAAACTATTCATGAATAAATCTTATAAAACATACCCTTGGTGCCCAGGCGACAAACCACAGGAAAGACCCTCCACATTCCAGAAGGAGGCAGAAGGTATACTCTCTAGGAAACCTATTCCAGACAGGAGCTGGGCCTGGGGACATCAAATAAAGATATTCTTCTGTCCTGTGTGAGCCAAAACAGAGGAGGCAAGGACTCCCCTCTGCACAAGAGAGAAAAACCCTGCAGGTCCTGATCAAGTAAAGGACACGTCGCAATAGCAGACAAGTCCCCGTGCAAACAGAGCTTTCAGTATACAGCCAATCTTTTAAAAAGAAATTCTCAGCTAAGAAATACCAGATAATGATACTTGCACAGAAAAAGCTGGATGCTCTTTTAAAACATCATTCAAAGAATAAGATGAACCTTTTTTATATAAAAAAATGACAGAAATTAAAATTTCCAAGGTAGTCAGGAGAGTTCCCAGAAAGTAGAGACAAGTAAAACAAAGCAGTTGCCCTCCATTGCCCACAGCTGCTCTGCTGAGAGGTGGCAAGGAAAGAAGATGCCAGGGGCACAAACTCTCACATGTCCTTGTCAGCATGTGCTGTCACACACTGGCAGCACCATGGAGACTTTGGAGGTCTATAAATGGAAGGGAAATAAGACGTATTCAGCCCAAGAAGGAAAACATAGTGATAACGGTTCTCTTACAAGACAGGTGTAACTTTTCTCTATGTACTTTCTATATTGCTAATCGAGGTACAGACACTCTCAATTCTCCTAGGAATAGACCATAGTTCTTTCAGTCATTGTACATTATGTTTGTTAAATAAAATGTGCATATCCCTCACATTACACACACGGTATAACTTTAAAAACCTAAAGATTAGGAGAAAATGAAACTTGGAGAAATATGCTTTTCTTTAGACTGTAAAATTTAAATAAGATTTGAAATAGCAACAACTGGCAATTTGAATTATTTTGACGCCTCTCACCCATGTTTAGAAGATAATTTCAGCAAACCTAGGGCAAGCGGGGGGTCCTGGCTTGTGATACTCATCAGAAAATCATCCTCCAAAACTCTTAGATGCAGTGAGAGCAGCCTTCACTGCCATAATAAAACAAATCACAGAACCATTTATCTGCAGTGTGCAAATCGATGTGCAGAGTTCAAAGAGGTGACTATAGAATTAAAACGCCAGCTCCTAAGATTCCAATCAATGCTGTGGCTATTTCCTGAGCTGTGTTTAGTCTGGGTTCTAGCTAATGTTCCCCACAATCCCCCAAACCACAGCTCAGCTCTTTTCCTCTGTTACTTTTAAAATCCCTGCCATCCTTCAGTTCACCCAACCCTAGAGAAACTAAAAACTGAGGCAGTAAGCGGCTGCCATACCTCATCCCTGAAGAAGGGAAAACACACTTTTCTTTTCAGAAGGTGAACTGTTGTCTGTGAGCTGCCAAGTAGGCAGTATGGGACCTGTCCCCAACACTGACAATACTGGTTTTTATTTTTATGTCACCAGGCTCATGAGGTTTGTGAAATCCCCACCCCCAGGTTGCAGAGAGCTGTCAAATATATTTTGCCACAAGAAATACCAAATGTAGGCCTCCCTGGTGGTGCAAGGGGTTAAGACGCAGCACTGTGAAGCTATCCGAAGCCACGGGTAGTTTGATCCCCACCCAGGGAGCTACCCACATGGCACAGCAGACCTCTCCTGACTCACCTGCTGCTCTCTTCAGCAGTGTATTCAGTCAATCCACCTGCTCTGTTCCCTACTCTGTCTCTGGTGAATCCTCTCACCTCCCGCACCTCTGCCTGTACCCCGGTTCTTATACACATAAATAAATTTTTTTTTTAAAAATTAATACCAAATGATTCATCTCTGCCCTCTCTGAAACCATTCCCATAAGGGGATGGCAGATTAATGGAAGACTCTGTCTCAGGGTCTCTCCATCAAAGTGAGGAAACCAACCCTCTAAAAAACCTCCAATTCATCCAGGTTCCAGGAGGCTCCTCCCCTGTGAGTGACATGACATTTATTCTCTGCAAGGAAGTTGACACTGGAGCACAGGGCTTTGATAGACTGTTCATCTTTATTTTTTTTTAAAGATTTATTTATGCATACAAGAACTGGGGTACAGGCCAGAGGTGCAGGGGTTGAGAGGATTCACCAGAGACAGAGTGGGGAACAGAACAGGCAGAATGACTGAAATACATCACTGCAGGGAGCAGCTGACGAGACAGGAAAGGTCTGCTGCACCATGTGGGTAGCTCCCTAGCCACCCTGGGATTGAACTCGTGCTGCAGAGGCTATAGATAGCTTCTCAGTGCTGTGCTTAACCCCTTGTGCCATCAGGGAGGCCCTAGACTGTATAGAAAGCACATTTTGGGGGTCCACCCATTCACTCTATTACTCAAGGGTTCAGGCCAAAATGACTGGCTCCAAATCCCCAAAAGTCAACAGAAACTATAATGCCAACCCTGAAAACAAAGATGAAAAATTCTAAACCCATCTTGAAAGTATTTACCTCTATTCATCATCTTCTACTGACAATTCAAGCCAAAACACTGACTTTCCTGGAGTTAAAGCAGCAAGCCTACCTAAATTCAGATTTAACAGCTAATCCTCAGCCAAATACTGTGTTTTTCTTTTTGCAGTTTAACCCTCAGTATTTCATTTAACAATCTCACAATCTCTCTCTCTCTCTCTCTCTCTCTCTCTCTCTCACACACACACACACACACACACACACACACACAATTGGTAGGAGAGAAACAACAGGACAAAAGGATAATCAAAGTCTTAGTTTATCTCCAAAAAGAATATATTCATACAAGGAAATGCCAGAATGCTCTCTGGCCAGTGATTTTGTGATGCTTTGTGATGGCTCAAGAAGTGACCTCAGGGCCTCCTCTGCCTAGGACGCCTGCCGTTCCCCAGCTGGCCGCCAGGGGAAGGCCCTGCTCCAGGATTGCTGCAAAGAGCCAGGAGCCAGGATGCCTGTCAGTTTTCATGAGTCACTGGGCTTTGTGATTTCCTTTTCCTGAGGAACCTCATTCAGACTGTGACACACATACACCACGAGGAAAACACCAGGGAGTCATCACTATCGCTCAGGAAAACATAAGGGCTTTAAAGCAGAAAAAGAGAAGAAAGTCTACCGGGTAGATAAGGAAAGACACAGGGTGGAAGAGGAGGGTGCTAACTACCTGCCATTCCTTAAAGGCTACTTTATTTTTAGTGGAGTTACAACTTGCCTATGTACATATTTTTCTACTTCATTAGATTATGAAGATAATATAACCATCTTGTTCAATCCTAGTTTTGCAAAAGAGGAAGCTGCATGACTTCCTCAAGGTCGCAGCTGGTGGGGAAGAGTTAGAACCAAATTTCTGAGTCCCACGCAAATCCTCTTAAGGCTTTTACCAGGCTAACTACACCTCCCTGTCAAATGAAAAGTTCTTTAAAAAAAAAAAAGAAAAGAAAAGAAAAAAGAAAAAGCTCCATTTTCTAAAACTTAC